AAGTATTTATACTTTTCTGTTTGTAGCATTTAAATTTTCTTACTGTTCTGCAATTTTTTATTACATGTATTGAACACATTAAAGTTTGGACACTGATAGTTACCATTACTCAAAAATCGATGGAACACACTAAAAGATCGCAACCACCAGTACCTCTTAAGAAATGGCCGATAAGACCAGATTAAATAACATAGCAAAAGAAATGACCAAAAAAATTTGGACAAATACATGAAATATTTTCAAAACCATATTAGTAAAGAAGAAAGGCTTAGAAAAAAAACATATCTTACAAAACAAATCAACACAGAGCCTTCAAAAGAGTAGTTTTGCAGTCACTTTCAACAGCAAGAAGCACCACTGATAGATTTAGAATTAAAGTCTACACCAACCGAGAAAGAAATAAGCGTAAATGAGATGCACTTCATAGACATGAAAATATGAAATGAAACAAAGAGCCTACAAAAAAATCAACCAGCTACATGAAATCAAAGAAATAATTTCCATATAGTCTTTCCAATGCTATGTGTATTGCCTGATTTAAAAGAATTTATCCAGTTTCTAAGAAAGAAAAAATATAGGAAGCAAAGATGGATGTATGACCTGAATGCAACATATTAATTCTCAACAGTTATTAATGTTAATTCTTAACTCCTATTCAATTTGAAAGTATCTACACAGGGAAAAGATCATACATAAGAACAAGGTCAGACAGAAACAAATTGTGTAGTAATTGACTGCAACATTAACAAATGTGAAGGCATTTGCAAAACAACATGAAGAATCAGGGGAAATATTAATGCTACTTTTTGGTGTATAACGTGTTGCGAATGAGATCATGGAGATGTGAAAACTTAAATGCCCATTTGTTACCCATAGGAGAAGGTTTATTGGTGACTACTCACTATAATAACACAGAGAGGCAATGACTTTGGAGTTTCAGGGGAAAATGAATCGTTGAATTGTCAATTGAAGGTGATGTATACTCTGAAAAAGAACATGTATTCACAGTCAGATCTTCATATGAAAAACCTCTTTTAACATAGGCATTGATTTAGTACTATTTGATAGATTGTAGAATATACAATACTTTTCCCACATCTAAGATGATATTAAACAGAGACATGGATTTTTTTAAATCCTAAACATGCTATGCATTTTGAACTGTAAATATATAGAAGAGTTTAATCATGCTAATAGTAGCACATATTGTTAAATTTTTGAAAGTAGACCTAGCCTAAGCCATGGAACCACATGAGCCCTCAAGGTTGGGATTTGATCTTTAGGAGGGCTTTAAATGACTGGGAGGTTGATAGAGTAGCAGGATTATTACACACACTAAATGCATTTTCAGGTGTCACTGAAAGTCCTGATACTCCAATCTGGAAAATGCACAAGAAAGGGATTTTTTCTGTGAAGTTTTGTTACTGGAGCTTAAACTCTAATCAGGCTATGGAAATGGAATGGCCTTGGAAACTAATCTGGAAAATCAAGGTTCCTCACAAGGTCTCAGGTTTTATTTGGTTGGCAATTAGGAAAGCATGTCTAACTCATGAAGTGTTACAAAGAAGAGGTATACAGATTTGCTCAAGGTGTTTCATGTGTGGGGAAGAGGCAGAAGTTAATAGTCACTTATTCTTACACTGCAGAACAGCTGCAAATCTGTGGGACATGTTCTTATGTATACTTGGAGTTAACTGGGTAATGCCCAAGATTACTTTAGAGTTGCTGAGACAGTGGAAAAGAGTGGGTAGAAGAAGAAGATCCAAAGAGGACTGGTGGAAATGCATCCCAGCCTGCATCTGGTGGACATTGTGGAAGGAAAGAAATGAAAGATCATATGATGGGAAACTTAACAGCACTCAGAAAATCAAGATGAATAGCTTGATCCTGCTGTATTTTTGGTGTAAACAGGATTTGGTGGGGGAGGTAGATAACTTAGTGGATTTTAAAGCTCAATTGTAAAGTTTTGCCTAGTTTTTGGCTTTCGAAATTACCCCCTGGGGGCTGTAAATCCCACCTCATCAGGCTTTGTTGATGAGTTTTGATGTGAATATAAAGTTACCTTATCAAAAAAAAAAAGCAAACCCAAAATTAAAGAAGTAGAATACAGGGGAGTGGAGTCAATCCAAGAAGGGCAGGACCATGTATTATAAAAATGTCATCAACTTAACGATAATGCAAGGAAATGTTACACTGTAAGCATTTAATGTAACTTAACAATAATGTAAGAGCCTGAACCAAAGAAATATGTCTTTTCTTTGAATGACTGGACAATACTCAAAGAGCTACTTCTAGTTCAAGAAAAAGGAAAAAGAAAGGCAATATTACAACCTCAACTCCATGTGTACATCAAAATGTTGTTGTGACTCGTTATCAAATCATGAGTTATTTATTGCTTAACCAAGAAATGGCTTTGAGAATGAATCTTATTCCCACGGTGGAAAAATTCAAGATGTATACTTATACATGTAGATACATATCATAATCATAAAGTAATAAAGCAACACAGATAAAACAAACCCAATAAGACTAGGGCAAAATTTTCAACAGACTTACATGTGACAAAGCTAATATTTTGTAAGTTATTGTATTAAAGTTACAATAGATTATCAAAAAGATGACATATAGAATTCCTCCTTGCTAAATTTTTTGCAAAGATTGCAGTGTATGTACATAAAAGGTCAGGTCCTCGGCCACTCTCGTTGTTATAAAAAAGTTAGTATTCTGAACTCATATTAGTGCTACAACTACTGTGTTTTGACTAGAACAACAAAAAAAAATAAAGAAAATGGGATTAAGGAAACCTAATCTCCACAGTTTACACAAAAAAATGTATCATATTATAAGGTAGAATTACACTTGTGAAGGATAATGAAAATTTTGTCCTGGAAATTATCAGATTTCAGATTGACAAATTTATTCAATAATTATCACTATTGTGACTTCTTTTATTATCAATCGAGGCTACTGCAAAAAGTACACACAAACATATGATGGAAATTACTAGTATACATAATTTAAGATCATGTACAACAAAAACCTACTGAAAACAACTAGATTATTCATAAAGAATAAACATAAAATTGGGCAAAATCAGAATTTTCACCTAACAATTCATAGTCAAAACAAAAAAACATACTTTAAAAAGAAGGGAACTCCAAAAAGATGCGAAATTATTGTCACACACAGCAAAGAACAACAACAATCAGGTGAAATTTAGAGTAAAAAAGGAAAGCTGACTTCTGCAATTAGAAAAAAATGGCGTTGATTTCCTTTATAAGAGTTTGAACATATACCTGGAGTTAAAGGTACTAGAATATTCGTGGTCGGTTTTGCTGATTTTTCTCCAACAAATCAGATTTCTGAGTTAGATCCCTTAGGTATCTCACTTTCTAGCGTAACACACAGCAAACAACAACAACAATCAGGTGAAATTTAGAGTCAAAAACGAAAGCTGACTTCTGCAATTAGAAAAAAATGGCGTTGATTTCCTTTATAAGTGTTTGAACAGATACCTGGAGTTAAAGGTACCAGAATTTTCGTGGTCTGTTTTGCTGATTTTTCTCCAACAAATCAGTTCTAGGAGTTATCTAGGGAGGTATCTCACTTTCTAGCGTAAGAGAAGGACGATGTGTTGAGAAACTGCCGCATCTCATCGAAGTGGTGGAGAAGGTGGCGTGCGTGGTGCAAGTTTGTGAGCGGAAAAATCGAGAAGATTGTTCATCATCTCTCTGAAGCTCGATGTTTTCTCATGGATGGGTGGGGGTAATGGGAGACCTAAATCTGATGGGTGGGTGGATAGGGTAATAGAGGATAAGTTATTTGTTAAAAATAAATAAATTGTTAAATATAAAAGAGTTAAAAGGGAAAATGCATAAGTACCCCCCCAGCCTATGCCCGAAATCCCAGAGACACACCTAACCTTTACTAAGGTCCTATTACCCCCCCGAACTTTTTTTTTAATTAATTTTCTACCCCTTTTGGTCCTACGTGGCACTATTCTTGTGGGCCCAGCACGTGTTGACAAATTTTCCAAAATAGTGCCACGTAGGACCAAAAGGGGTAGAAAATTAATTAAAAAATAAGTTTGGGAGGTAATAGGACCTTAGTAAAGGTTAGGTGTGTCTCTGGGATTTCGGGCATAGGCTGGGGGGGTACTTATGCATTTTCCCGAGTTAAAATAAAATGGGTTGTTAATTAAAATAAAAGTATGTGTCATTAGTTTATTATTAACGTCTGGGTATTAATATGTGTCATTAGTTTATTATTAACGTCTGGGTATTAATATGTGTCATTAGTTTATTATTAACGTCTGGGTATTAATTTTCTTAAAGTCCGGATATTGTTCTTTCGTTAATATTATATTAAAATTGCCTTTTAACGACGGGAAAAAAATTGTGACGGAATATATATACTTATAACGACTGGATTTATATTCTTTCGTTAAAATTTGGTCGTTAAAAATCAATTTTGTTGTAGTGTATTTTTGCACCGCATAGCTTGAGGGGGAGTGTTAATTAATAAAAAGGTCGCTTTATAATTGTCTAACTACTTAAGTTAGTTAGACATATCATTTCCTCTTCTTCTACATACTCTCCTTCTCTAATCTCACAACTCTCTAAACATCAATATTGAATTCTCAAGAATCAACACCCTCCCCAAAATATCCAGAAATAATCCTCATACGAGTTAATTAATTAACCTTAAAGTTACCAGTACAGAAATGGACACCATACCAATAAACAAATTAAAAGGAAAAATTAAATAAGATGCTCGATTTTGAGCTACAATAGACGTAGATTTCTAAATATTCGTGTTTTAGATGGAAAGAAAGAGCAAAACATCAAAACTATATTGAATAAGCCACAAATTTGCCACATTTTCTCCCTGATTCACATTTCCATCTTGTTAAGACACCTAGAGAAAACCTACACGAATGCAGAATTGTAATCCGATCATGAGGATTGACAAAATTATATTATCCGCATTAATAACATCTCTCAAAATTTACATAACTTAAGTGTTGTCAAGGCAACTAATTGAAAGCATTGCATTTTAATTTTAAGCACACATGAAGGGGGTTTTGGTTCATCAAAGTAAAGCCAGACCCTATAGCTGGGAATCACCTTCTGTTGCAGACCACTTGCGCAAAAAAAAATCATTGATCCTTCATTCAAGACATGCATCTAAGAGACAACAGCAACACAAAGCAGCCAAACTACAATGAAAATTAAGAACAACTATTAATCTTATGAGAATTAATAATGATTTTTGAGTGAGTAATCCAAAATATATTACTGTATTGATTAATGATTTTTTAATGAAAAATAACTCTACTTTTGTCATACCAAATAAGCTTACAAACTAGGAGGGCAATATAATGGTGAATTATATAAGGTGATTGTAAATATAAGACATACCATCCTCCCATGACACCAGTAGTAGCTTGATTTTGATTTTGTTTTTGTTTTTGAGGAGGATGTCCTTGTCCATGTCCATGTGGGGGTGCACCGTATTGCGGAGGGTGACAATATTGTGGAGGGTAACCTTGTGGTGGATATCCCATTCCCATGGGCGGAGGATAACCTTGGGGTTGGGGGTGAGGAGGGTAATATCCTACTCCCTGTGGAGGGTAATTACCTTGTGCGTATCCATGCCCTTGGGGCGGGGGAGGATACATCCCATTTGGGTAAGCTTGCGGAGGATAATTACCTAATACATGTCACATACATAATAACATCAAATTACATTACATTTGATTGAATCTAGATAATATCAAAACCATGGCGAAGAAAAGAGAAGATTTGAGTTCTTACCTTGAGGGGGTGGGAGACTTACAGGAGGTTGTTGAATGTTATTATTCATGACTATTTAGTATTGAAAATGGTGTTGGTGTTGGGGATTTTGAGATTTTTATAGGAAGAGAGCTATAGATATGAAACACAAAGGAGTTTTATATCTAGTGCCTGTGTAGAGCACTAGATTAAAATTATTATCTGCGCGTACAAGACGAGTAGTGCATCTCTACGACAAGTAAACTAAACCATGCATTTAAATTGCGGAACGAAAATACTAATGATTCTCAGTTTTCTTTCCTCGTAACTTTAGGACTTGAATTAATGGTCCTCAATATATATTATTTATTAATATTGCAATATACATACATGCGTACATATGCATTAGCTCCATTGCATCACTGTTATCTCTACGTCTGTTTTTTCTTCTTTCCAGTAATTTCTAAAAAGAAACTAAGAAATATTAATAATGAAAAGTTCATCTTCATTTTTCAATATATATATATATATATATATATAGCTTTCAATCATGTTATTGTTTTATCAGTAACGTTGTTACAATTAAACCTTATTCTAATGACTAAAACGACGTCCTAATAACGTTAACGTCATTACACTTATATCATATTGAGGTATGTAACTATCAAAATTAAATACTTCAATTGCTATAGAGCACATTTTTATTTACTTAATTATATCTTCAAAAATCTATATCAAGATATAGGAGTAAAGGTATATATATCAGTAAATCTTTGCATTTTGGTGCACATTTTTGTTTACCACCATTTCCTTTTTAAAATAATTATTGATTCCTTAATCTATTTAATTCCTTGCAAAATCATGTAACAGCTTATATTAATATGGATTGAAGAAGTTATCCAAAATTACAAAGACACAATCTAATGGTTCTTCAATTGTTTCTCATTAGATATTGTAATGCGGATAAATAAAGATACACGATTTCTACCTGAAAAATCACCCAGTTCAAAAGGTACTATAAAAATCACAAGTGTGATTTCAACTAACTATTCACAAAAACAATGAGATAAATAGTAATTGCAATTGTACATTAAATAAGAGTTTACCCCTAAACCTTTAATCCCAACAATCAGTCAATTGTTGCTAATCCCTTCAAGTTATATATATATATATATATATATATATATATGAATTATTTATTATTATCACATGTAGTGTGAGAGGTGCAATTTAGTTATTTATATTATTCCACGTGACAAGAAGAGAAAGTGTAATACGCGTAAGTGTGTTTCTCATACTCTCAATAGTTTAGGTGTAAAACTCAAAAAAAAAAAAAAAAGTTTATATGTGTTTTTGATACTTTACTCTTTATATATTTGTACTCTTACTATTTTTTTATTACATTAATAACAAAATACATTCTTTCTTTCCTTTGTACACAAAATTAAGCAGCTTCAGCTTTACCTTAAAAAGCTATATGTCTGCTAATTACATGAGCACGAGATGACGAAACCAAATCAAAAAGAGAGAATTTTATTTTTTTTTCAAATTTTCACAAATAGCTATTATAGAAAATTTAATTAGGCTCGTTAGCTACAATAAAAGACCGTTGGTTAGTTTGTGGTGACTTTAATGAAATTACCAATGCATCTGAAAAATTAAGATGAAGACCTATAAATAATACTAAGTGCTCAACCTTTATAAACTGTCTAATATGAATATGATTGATCTTGGTTTTTGATGTGAGGCTAAAAATACATATTTTTAATTATTATTTATCTCATATTTATTATATATATCTTTTCTTTTTGAGCATTAATTTTATGGATTATGCTAAATAGTGTATTTTATTTGTAGGAGTAAATTGACGTAAAGTTGAAGAAGTTTAGAGCCAAAATGAATTAAAAATGAATGATTGAAGAAGGAAATCAAGCAGACAGCTTAATGGATTAAATTAAATATAATAATATATAATATATAAGAATTGCATGCTGCAAAATTACGAACTGCAAAAGGAATTACTGCCTCGTGGCAGCAAGGAAAGAGGCCAGTACAAATTCAAGAGCGGCTACAGTGTTTCACGCGTAGAGGAATCCTTTTAGGTTTTGGATTCCTAATTTAGTTTGGACTCAATTATTTTATTCAGGGTTTTCTATATCTATAAATAGTCCATAAAATAATTATTGGATAACGAATATAGAGTAAGGAGGAGGTACTTTTGAAGAAAAAGTCGTCAATACTTTTTAGGGTTCTTTTCTTCTTCTTGTTTTCTTAGACATTAGTAGCTAAAGCTCTTGTTCTGGGGCTGTAGCTATGGATTCAATGTTAATTATTTAAGGTTTTTGAATTAATTCTTGATTGTCATTATAAGTTACTTCTATATTCTTGTTTTAGTATTTTGTGCTTAATCACCATGAGATAAATATATTGTCTAATCTTAAAATCGAGAGAGGAGGGATTAGATAGACCAGAGAATATAGAGAGCTCGATCGACCCATTTGATTGAGGTGATTTGTGTTTAGGAGTGACGCCCGGACGAACAGCTTGCTTGGTTACGAAAGAGGATGAAATATAAATGTTCACCAGTTAGTCTATTTATCCCCGCTCAACGATGTAGTTAGCTAACTGGAGTAGGCGACTAGAGGTGTGTAGCCTGACTCATACAATTAACCGTATAAACCAGTAACTTGACAACTAAAATTAATTCTAAGCCAAAAATATGATACATGAAATCCAATACATGTTGTAGCCCTGGGATTTTCCAACTATTGTAAGTAATTTTATTATTTTGTTCTTGCATTCTTCTCTTTTGACTCTGTTAAATAAATAATTAGATCAGTATAATTTAGTAAAAATAGTTAATTGACAAGTCATTTGGGTTCGATAATCTGATTCTTTTAAGAGCCACTATATTATTTGCGCAACCGCGTACACTTGCGTGTGCAATTGGGAGTAACAAATTTTTGGCGCCACTGCCGGGGACATAGAAATTGATTTATATTCAATCTTCTTAAGTCTACACTTAAAATATTTAGGTATTAATTACTTGATCTTAGCTTGTGTATTGCAGGCACTTGATTTTTAGGTCTGGCTCGGAAAGGAGATCTTGTTGAACCTTACAATGAACCTGAAAGAGTTCTACGACAGCGCAAAAAAATGAATTTAGGACGAGGAGAATCGGGTTTAGGTATTCTGGAAAACATTGATGATGAGAATCAAGACAACTTGAATAACCCGGAAAACGTGAATAACCAAAGGAACCGAATAACCAAGGAGCACCGCCTGTCGTACCCGCAAGACCAGTCCGTGATGTGGCAGTCCCACTCACAGCCAAATTGGTATCTAGTATTAGGAAACCTCCACGAGGGGTAGATTTGAACTAAAGCAGAGCATGGTACATATCCTTCATTCTAATGGGCAATTCACTGGTCTTCCTCATGAGGATCCTCAAGTCCATCTTAGGACTTTCATAGACATTGCCAATACATACATCCCAATTGGAGTCTCATCAGACTATGTAAGGTTGACTTTGTTCCCATACTCATTGTTAGGAGCTGCAAGGTGTTGGTTAGACTCTGAGCCACCAAACTCCATCACTACTTGGGATGATCTAGCAAAGAAATTTCTGAGTCGATTTTTCCCATCCAAGAAAATCGCCAAGCTTAGGGGTGAGATAATAAACTTTGTTCAAAATCAAGGGGAGGACATGTACCAAGCATGGGCGCATTTCAAAAAAATGTTGAATACTTGTCCACACTATATGCAAACCAATGAGGTACTTGCTCACACTTTCTTTGAGGGTTTAGACCATAATGCTCGTGCTCTTCTTAATAGTGCAGCAGGTGGACATGCCCTATCCATAACAAGTGAAGAGTTCTTCGCTTTACTCGATAAACTTTCTGAAGGGAACCTAGGGTATGAGGGGGAAATGTCTAGAACCCCAACCCAAAAGGTTGCAGAGATCTTAGATGTAGACCAAGCTACTGCCATAAATGCCAAATTAGATGCAATGCAACATAACATTACCTTGCAATTTAAACAAATGGCTCTAAATCAGGCTTCGGTAAACGTAGTACAACAAGTAGCAAATTGGTGTGAGATATGTGGTAGTAGAAGGGTAATGCACAAAGGGGTGGAGTGCAACAAAATTATGGTAACACTTACAACCCTAGTTGGAAGAACCATCCTAACTTCTCATGGGGTGGGAACCAAAACCAAAATCAAGCGCAAGGGGTTAACCAATACCATTCTCAAGGGGCTGGGCAACAATACTACAATCCTAACCAAGGCTCAAATTCTAGTCCACCAAAAGGGCGGATGACCAATGAAGAGCTACTCCAAAAGCTCATGATTGAAATAGGGACTAAATTAAATGCTAGAATAGATAAGAAGGATGAGAACATTAGAAACATCCAGATGTCCCAAATGAGTTTAGAGAAACAAATTGCGCAAGTGGCTAATTCTTTGAACTTGCATCCCCAATGTGGGCTGCCCGGTGATACTGAGCCCAACCCAAAACAATTGCATGCGGTAAATACTAGAAGTGGGTTGCAATTAGAGGAACTAGCTCCAAAGAAGAGAGACATTGAGGTAAGTAACGAAGAAAAAAAGGTGGAAGAGGTAGTAAAAAAACTCCAATGTTGAGGTACCCGTTCCTCAAAAGAAATTACCACCTCCATTTCCACAAAGACTCAAAAAGCAGAATGAAGATGAATGCTTCGGTAAGTTTCTCTCTCTCCTTAAACAGGTTCACATTAATCTACCTTTGGTTGACATTTTACAGGGTATCCCAAAGTATGCCAAATACGTGAAGGACATTGTGGCTAGCAAAAGGAGGCTCACATAATATGAAAGTGTAGAACTTACTGAGGAGTGCAGCTCAAGGAATCAAAACAGACTGCCCAAAAATATAAAAGATTCGGGTAGTTTTACTGTGCAGATTACAATTGGGCAAAGTGTTCATGCTCGGGGGTTGTGTGATTTGGGGGCAAGTATAAATTTGATGCCCTTATTTTTGTATCTAAAGCTTGGGTTGGGAAGTCCAAAACGAACCACTTTTATTCTCCAACTTGCTGATAGATCCATTGCTAA